AGTCCCTTTACTGTTAGAATCCCCAATGCTTTCCATGTTGCTAGATTTCCTTTATACCTAAAGCAGGACTTATTGCTTGCAAATCGAATTGCCTTGATACCAAGTATTATATGCTGCAGGGATGGCTAGTAGACCTCAGGTACCAATTCTGATTGATAGTGGTTGCTCAGCATAGAATGAGCAAAGAAGTTGGTGGTTGTATCTAGAGTCAATAAAAAAGCATGTGGGATTAATTGGTGATGTCTACCATGGGTATAGGGAAGGGAATTAGTGGTACCTATGTGATATTGTCCCAGTCCTAGCATATCCTATCCCAATCTGTGCTCTCAATTCAAAGATTCTCCTGGAACCCTTTAGTCATGCTCAAACCTTAGCTTCTCAGAGTTGGAGGGATCTAATAAGGTGTAGGTGTGAGTTTATTGAATGCATCTATCTATGTTGAAGGATTGTGTAGAGAGAGAGGACTTTGCCAGGTGGGCCTGAATTGGGTTTACATGCCCAAGTTCACAGAGATGAGACTGGAATCCCAATTTCCTAATTTATCTTCTACTTGCCTTTTCTCACTTTTCCTCTAAATGTTTTTGTTGGTGGTGGTGGGTTTTGTTTTTGTTTTTTAAGACCTTATGCTGTTCTTGGTAGATCTGTTTCCACTCTGCCAAGATTTCCTTGTGGTCTAGATATAGCTTTTCCTCCCAGTTCTGTGCCACCTGCAACTTTTAGCAATGTACCAGCAATTACTTTCAGCATATTTTTAATTTTGGAGAACATTGAATAACTCAAGGGGTTTGCTGCTGGAGTCTTGCTCTCAAGCAGTGTTGATCCAGTTATCAGCATTCTTGGAATATGGTCCCTCTATGGACTCTTATTCACACACTGACCTCTTTGTTCATAAGTATTTTGTGAGAGTCCTTGTTAAATTCCTGGGTAAAATTTGGGTAACCAATCTATGCTGGCAAATTTGTGAAATTCCTGGCTAGAAATAAACTTGGAGATCATCTTGTCAAACCCACTTATTTAACAGATGGGGACATTGAACCCCAGAGAAAGAGAGAGCAGCTGTCTCTCAAGTTCATGCATCTGTTTAGTGGTAGAGTCGAGGCAAGAATATTGGTGTCCCATCTCAGATCCAAGGCTTTTCTCTGATCATCATTAAAGTACTTGGAGGTCAGTTGGGCCAGGATTATTATTCCTATTTACAGGCCAGTGAACTGAGGCTCAGAGAGATTAATTAGTATTCTTCAGATTACACAAAAAATTAGGGCAGAGCAGTGTTGGGTTCAGTGCTCTGATTCATAGATAAGATTTTTGAAGGAACATGAGGTCATTTTTGAATAGAAGTTATAAATAGTGTACCAGTACAGTATGGTCTCTATGAGGTTAGGTAGACTTTAGAGTTAGAAATGTGAGCCTGTAATAGGCTAGTTCCATGATTTTTTTCTAGTTGGGGTTGTGACAAAGATATTTATGGAAGAGGAGGCAAACACTGGGGGTTATTTAAAAAGCAAGGAGAACTTAATTCAAGGAGTTTGGGGGTGTCTAGGGTGGTAGTAAAACCAGCACCAGGAAGGTGATTTGGGCCAAGAGTAGTCCCAAAAACATAACACAGACTGAGTGAAACTGTAAAGTAGGGAAGGGATGCTGGGAGCAGGGAAGATGTTCATCAGAAATGAGGATGCTGAATGCTGTCCTAATACCTCTGAATATGTTGCAGTAAGTGATATATTTTTTTTTACATTTTTATTGTGAAAATGTTTTCTCAAGAGCATCTATCAACACCTGCTTGTTCATAGTAGCTCGGGATTTCTGAAATGGAGGATTCCAGGCCTTATTTGTCCAATCCCATAACTCTGTATCTGATATATGGGAGCTATCTGCAAATGTCTGCTAAGTGAAATGCACAAGGAGGCAGGTACACTTCTTGGTGAATGACTGAACTGGGATGAAACTCCAGGGCACTGCAGTTTGAGACTATCCGAAATCACAAAACCAGCTTTTATTCCATTCAGAGATGCTCTGAGGAATTGTCCTCCACCATTTTGGTCTGGTAAATGGGCTTTGCAATGTGTTTCCTGAGCCACAGATGTGGCAGGGCTGGAAAACTCTAGGATGGTGAAGCTCAGTGCCCCAGGCACTTACCTGTACTATGTGAAAATGCAACAAACCACCCAGTAAGATAGTGGGTTCTTCATCCTCGGGGATTTTCCAGGAAATCCCGATGACCACATTTGAGAGATGTTATGGAGACACATGCGTTGATCATGAGGTTACAGTAGATGACCTCAAAGTTTTGCTTTTTTCCCAATTCTGAGATCTTGAGTCCCCTCAGTAATAGAAGGTGCTTAGGTAGGACAAAGCAGGAAAGTCATTTAAAGAGCCATTATTATGCATGTGCAAGAAACTGTGTCAAGTATATATTTCTGGGATGCTATGAAATATTTCACCCTTCATATCTACAAATTCACACGTGTGCTTTCTTTCTCACTTCCCATACGCCTCACCATCTGTCACCTGCCCTCTCTAGCCCACTGCTCTCTCTGTCTGTGTCCTGCTCTGAAATCTTGAAGCTACTCTCCCTTCTTACTGCTTGAAAACCCATCTCTTCTACATTAAAGAAAAAAAAATCTTCATTTGACCTTTCTGCCCCTTCTAACTCTCTTCAACTACTAAAATAGGTCATTTTATCTTCTGTCTTAATTTCTGGGCTTCTGATCTCACCACTTCATTGACTCTAGATTTTGGGGGTCACTAATTATCTCATCTTGGCAAAATTCAAATGCCTTTCCTCTAAGAACTCTAATCCTTTTCTGAACTATCTGTTGAATGATATTATTAATAGCTGCCCCATTCTTTCTACACCCTCTGCTCCCTCGCTGCTTAGCATTCTTGTTCAGTGCCCTCATGACACCTGGCTTCACGATGGACTCCCCGTTCCAGCCATGCTTTACCTCGTCCGTTGGTTTCTCTTCTTCCTCTCCTTCTGTGTTCTGGTCCTGCTATTTTGGACATCTACTTTGGGAAACCTCAGATTTACATTTTTAGCCTCCACCTCTTCTCTCTTTGATTGCTTAAGCTTTTAGCCTCCCCTGGAGAATTCGCTGGTGATTGAAACTTGCCTTGTTGGAGGTAAAAGTCACCATGGCCACCTCCTGCTTCTCAAACAAAGAGTCCGTTGGCATCAGTGAAAACCCTCTTGGGATGTTTCCCAAAGTTGAGTCATTTTGGAATCTGTCTCTTCATCACTTGTACTTGACTTTTTACCTGTTCCTGCTCTGTCTTTACTCCAGGGTCAACTGTCCTTTGTGTGTTGGCAGGAATTGCCCTGGTGCACTCCCTGACCAGACCAATTCTTGGATCAATGCATGCACCTTCAGACTCAGAGTCATCCTACCCATACTCCTCGAATCTTCCATCATCCCAGCTGCTGCTTTAAGAGATTTGAGTGAATCTTCATTTCCCAAAGTGATAAATTTCTTACCCTGGCCTCCAGGGCCCTCAGGTACCCTGCCATGCTGTTTCTTGACTGCTCCCACAAGAAACCCCTTCCGTTCCATCCCAGCCAGCCTACCCGCCATTCCTCAGTAGCGCTCACTCATTTCCAATGTTGCCTGAGACCTTCTGTATACATTCCCTAGGGCTGCTGTAATAAAATACCACAGACTGGGTGGTTTAAACAATAGAAACTTATTTCCTCGCAGTTCAGGAGGCTGGAGGTCTGAGACCAAAGTGTCCACATGGTTGGTATCTTCTCAGGCTTCTCTCCTTGACTTGTAGATGCTGTCTTCTCCCCATGTCTTTACATCCTTTACCTTCTGTGAATGTCTATGTCCAAATTCTCCATTCTTGTGAGGACACCTGTCACATTGGATTAGGACCCACCTACATGATCTTGTTTTACCTTAATTACATTTCTGACTTTGAGGTACTAGGACTTAAGCATAATGAATTCTGGGGGGGGGGACACTGTTCAGCCCATAACATCTTCTTCTCTCGACTTACCACCTGTTCTTTCATTTCTCTCTTTCTTCTTTCTCTCTATTCCTCACCATCATCAAAACCCAGTGGTCCCATTTCACTTGCTTACTGGATGGTCTCCCCAGAATCACCCTATTGGTTTATGCACCAAGATGTGTTGCTTCATAAACATCCTTCTTTGTTGGGTCCTTCTGATGTTTCTCTGCCTCTGGCTTGAATGAGAGCAAGGGCTAGGTCTCTTGTCTTTTGAACAAGAAGCACTTGAGAAATGCTATTGCTAAGTCACTGAATGTCCCTTCTCGAAGGCCGCCTAACGTACCCACTTCTCTGACTTCTCAAGAGGCCTTTCAAGGGGAATGAGTTTTTCCCAAGTGGTAATGGAGAACATACACACTGATTCTGTTGACAGCAAGGAGGAAGGCTGAGGATCCGCCCAGATGACATCCAACTAGCTCACCTCCTTTCCAAACCAGACAGGTGGGAATGCGCATTTGGGAAGGAAGCCCTTAAAGTAGTGGTGAATTCCGTGATTTTTCTGCTGGAGATAGGAACGACCAATATTCCCTCAGAAACTTTGGAGAAGTGCTATGTCTTGGAATTAAGGAGGTGAAAATTCTGGATAAAACCCACTTCCTTTCAGAGTGATAGTTGGCTGGGAGACTCATCTTGTTGGAAGTAGAATTGAGCCCTTGGTGGGAAGCCATTTGGATCTTGGTAGAAAACCAGAAGGAAGACAGCTGGGCACCATGTATTAAGAGTGGTGTGATGGTGTGCCTGCTGAGCTGTGGGTTGCCTCTCTGGGTGGACCCCTGAGTGAGGACCATAGAGCTGGGTTGATGCTGTCAGCCTTTCCCCCCCACTGGTGTGAGAGGCATTTGGAGGCTGTGGCCAGGAGAGACTCGCCATTCACTTAAAGATATACCCACATTCCTTCTCCTCCCTTCTTTCATCCTTCCATGCTTTCTTCCTCTGCCTTCATCCTCTCTTCTCTCTTCCCCTACCCTGCTCTCTCCTCCATTCACTGTCAGGAAGGGCCATGCCAGAAGGGCCCGATCAGCGTGTCATGGCAGCGCCAGAGGCTAGCAGCGCCGGCAGCTTCCACAGTGAGTCTGGATTTTGTTTCTGGGGCCAGGGGGCTGGGCAGGGCAGTCCACACCCAGACGGACAGCTTGCAGACTTTGGAGAGGAACTTCCATGGGCCAGGGCGCTTCCCTCCTCTCCTTCCCTGCCTCCCAGCAGAGGGACATCATTTCACTTCCATGGAAGTTTCCTGCCAAAGCCATCGATGTGCTTGGGATGTCTCATGGGGAGGAAGCATGGTGGGGGTGGGAGGGGCCATAGTCTGCTAAAATTAGGTGCACATCTGGGAGAAACGCCGGAGTTCAATTGGCTGCCAAGGATTCTGTCCAAGCCTGTGTGTGTGGTGGAGGCTGGAGGCTCTGCATGGACAGTGGTTTGGCTGCTTTCTTGCATTTCAGGAAGTGTGACCTTGAGTTTTGCGTACATGTTGGGTGCCTACACTCCCTTTAAGGAACTGAGAATGCCACATAGGCTCAAGGATCTGCCGAACCAGAGGTCTCCCTATTGACCTTAGATGAAACTTGTCTAAGAAATTCAATGTTTAGGGTAGTTATTACAGAGCTCCATGACTGAGTCATCTCTCTGAGGATCAGGGGGAAAGTTTTTACCATTCCCATGTTAATTTCTGTGGTAGTTTTGGGCATGGAGATGGACATAACGTGGAATCAGTCAAAGTTCCATCTGTCTTGCCTTAATCATCAGACTGAACTGGATGGCTTCCTTCCACTTTTTGCCTAGGGGCTGTTCCCTTTGTTTGGGGAATGGTCCATTGGGGAAAACAGAACCACACAATTTACCTACCCAGCCTTAAAAATCTTACCCAGTCCAGGAGCCCACATGTCCATCTTGAAATGTTTTCCCACAGGCCAGATGTTGTTGCCAAATATTGATGGGGTGTGATGTAGTTCATTTTGAAGTGAAAAACCTCCAGTCTCTAATACGTGATATTATCCTGAGGCTGCAGTCTTATGGGCAGGTGCATGGGGATACTTTTCCAATTTCATTCATTTCTCCTGTGATATGGCTAGGGAGGTAAATTAGGCATAGCTTCCCAAGTTCTAGCAGGATCACGTTTTTATAGGTATCTCCTCTTGGCACTGTTACTAATAATGACATTAGAGTTTAAGATTTTTCAACACTAACAGCTGTGTAGAATTAGAGTTTATCAGAATGAACATGTTTGCCAGCCTTGTGAGAATTTTGAAAGCAGGACCATTATACGAGATTAATCAATCTCTTCTCATGCTTTTAAACATCCTATGTATTTCACTCACCTCAGGATAAACTCTTGATTTGAGGAGTTGACAGGTTTAATTAAAGTATCAAGTTGGTCAAATTTATTAATTAAATTTAACAACTACTTATTATTAATCAACTCTGTATATTTGATTGTCTAAACTTGGACACCCCTGAGACTGAAAAAAGGAAACTATTAATAATTAAATTGATACCACAGACATAAACTGTTACCTTCCCTGGTAAATTGGGACACCTATGTATTGTGAGCTACAGGATACAAGTGTGATTGAAATAGGCAAAAATCTCTGCCCTTAATAAGGAAAATAGAAAATAAAATAGAATAGACAGTATGTAAGAGAATAGTAGGTCCTTAAGAAAAAAATAAAACACAGAAGGAAAAAAGAAGTGTTTGGTGGTAGTAGTGGTGGTAGTGATGGTTGCGTGCGTGTGTGTGTCTATCTGTGTGTGCGAGTGTGTGTCTGTGTGTGCGTGCACACAAGTTTAGACAGGGAGGTCAAAGCAGTTGAGTTGCCTAAAAAATATAATGTATTTTAGTTTATTTAGTTGATTTAATTTAGCCAAGGAGGGCTCCCAGGACTTGGATAAAATTTTTCTGAAACAAGTCAGATTTAGACATTCTGAATCCAAAGCAAGGAACACTCACAAATCTCGGAATGACAGAAATCGAGAAGGGAGAATCAGGTGGCCGTGGTGTTGGAAGCATACCTTGTCTGCTCAACAGTTAGATTTCCCCTCTGACTGACACGATGGGGAGACTTTCAGAAAGTGAGTGAGCCTGTGGGCCTCTCCACTTGGGAGAGCATCTTATAGAAAGCCCCTCAGTCTCTTACTTGCCCTGGCCATTCAGGACATCTTCAGGGCCTTTCTTCTTCCATCTAGTGTCCTCGGGGTTGGTCAGGGATGGTGGCTTAACTTTGCTGAACACCTACAGTTGGAGTAGGTGAATTTATTTAATCCATACTGTTCCCATGAAGAAGTTATCATAAAGCCATTTTAGGGAAGAGAACACTGACGTTTAAACCCAACACTGGAAAACCGTGGAGCCAGGATTGAAGCCTAGGTAGCTCTGAGTCTAAAATCCTGCCTTAAGCAGTTAGTCTTAGCATTCCCCCAAAGAGACCCATTAGCAGGAAATGGGAGAAAGAAAGGAGAGGTAGGACTTCCTAGGTTACCCGCAAGGTCCTGCGAATGGGCTTCTTTGCATGGCTGGATCAGGAGCAATAGATATTGTTGGGACGGTTGTCGATGTCTTTGCTGATGGTGCATGAATGTACGGCAACTTCTCCTGCTTGTCCGTGCGTCATTGTTATCGGGAATGGGGATAGGCATGGAAAACTTGGGGGGCATGAGAGCAAGTCTCCCTGTTGTGGCATCCATCCCAGGCAGAGGTGGAAGTGGACTTCAGTGTGTCAGTGTTTCTGGGTTTCACGCACGTTGGAAGGAGGGACGGTGCATGGGTCTGTGGGTAGATAATAGGGGTGGAGAGAATGCATGCGGAGGTCTGAGGCTGGATAAAGTTTTTCTGACAGGGTTCTGAGTCAAGAGTTGAGTTTGAAGAGAATCCTACATTTCCTGCCTGCCTTTGTGAATGGAATCCACAGAATGGCCACATCCAGTCTTGGGGCTGCTATTAGCAAGAAGCAGGATGTCCCTGGACCATATCTTATTATGGTTATACTTAACATCCATCTCACTGCGTGACCTTGTATTTATGGGTAATGAACATTTATATACTTCCCAGAAAAAAAAAAATTAGGTAGCATCTTATTTTATGCAGAAGCTCCTGGTAAAGCAATATGGCAAGCAAGCCATCATTTATATGCACCCAAGAGAGCTGCTATAGCGAAGCGAGGAATTATTTTGAGATGTCAATAACCCTCTCCGGTTTGCCTTTTATGCTAAAGGAGAGAGCAGTTCCACTTGTGATGCTCTTATTTTCTTGGACTTCTGTAACATATTTATCCAAAGATTTCAATGAGCGTCAAGGCTGTGTCTCTTTCAGTGTCACAGTATGTGTCATACAGGTAAAGAGAAGTTATTACTCTGTCATTTACCAAGGGTTTTCTTCATCATCACAATGTCAGTGTCACTTAGGTATATACTCCAGGCATATGAATGTCTCCCACTGTGGTCTTCCAACTACTGGATTATGACTACTCCATCAAGTCCTGGTTCTTTACTGCTTATGGTCTGTTGTCTAGTTTCCCTCCATCATTTTGCTACTCAGGGCTAGGGAGCAAAGCATCCTTCATCTGCCTCCATGGGGAACTCTCCTCTGACTTATCCCGCTGAGTCTTTTGCCTTTCTGACAAAAAACCAAATGGGCAAGCAAACTACCTTTTCTTCTAAGATGTTAACTCATCTCAGCATCATTTGGCTTCTCTATTCTACTCTCGTGCCCTGTGGAGTCCCAGTTGGGAACAGGGGTAAGGATTGGAAAAGTCTGGTTCTATTTCGAGCTGACAAGGATATCCCTCCTTTCACTGGTTCCAGAAGGCTCACCCTACTACTCACACATCCAGGGTCTGTCAGAATTCTAGGAAGTGTATAGTTACAGCTGGAAGGACAGTGCCCAGGCCTTCGACAGAAGTCTGTGAGAGCACATAGTCACAAGTATGCCCCAGTCCAGAGACCTCCTTAGAAACCTGGCTAGGGACACACCCTTTTGCACCAGAAGCCCAGAGGTATATATCTCTCCCCAAATGGGCCCAGTTGTGCTGAGGAACGTGAGAACACTTACACGTCTCTGCCTGCCCAGGACATACAATGGGTACTTTGGGTGAGGGTTTTCACCCCTCTCTGTGCGGTGGTGTGCTTCAGCTGCCGCTGAGGGCATGGGTGGGCCAGGGTGCAGCAGAGTGTCTGTGAGCTGGCGAGTGTTCTAACACACACTAGGACTTTGATAGTTTCACAGCCCTGACGGTGAAGACTGTGATTTTCCACCTTCTGTTGCTTCCCGAGCCTTGAAGTTCAAGATGGTTACGATGGCCTCTTGGCCAGAGAACCCAATACCTTGTCCTGTGGGAGATGCCTTTTAATTATGCAGTACCTCATGTCCTTATAGGTTCAGGGATATCAGCTGGTGTTCGCAGAGCTAGTCCTTTGAGTTCTCAGCTGGAGATTTATCCAGAGCTAGGAACTCTGCCCTGTAAATGGTAATTAATCTTCAAACTCGTAACTCCCTTAACATTTTGCTCTCTGATTATCTGAAAATAGAGGTCTCCTGTCAGAGCAACCTTCCAGAACTGCAGGACAGAAGTTTCCTGGAATGGGGTGGAGCCCAGGTCTTCTGGCGAAGGGGCTGAGGGAATTACAGGGACGAGGACAATGAAGGGAAGGGAATCGTTCCAGATGTGCCATCCCGGACGGTTCATTAGGAAGGTCCCTCTCATCTCTGTGATGGGATTCTGTACTCCTCGCTCTGGGTTTTATCTTCAAAGTTGGTCAAGTCTGTTTGCTCCTGCAATTCTTTTGGGACAAATGACTCATGAGAAACCCATTTGTCTGGAAGAATTGCGACAGGACCTCCTGTGTGGGGATGCTGGAGGGGATTAGATCACATGAGTTCCGCTATCTCTGTTGCCCGGGTCAGCTGGGTCTCTCTTGAGCATTAGCTGGTTCCTCTGATTTTTGTGGCCTCCTCCCATCCTGGCACTTGTGGCTAGCCCTAATGGAAAGTAGATGTCTAATGTAACCTCCAGCCTAATGCTCTGGGCTGAAGAAGCCGGTGTGTGGGCGGATGCTGCCATGCAAGGAAAGCTTT